CATTTCCTGACTTCTATGGCATAAATCCCAGTGTATTTGCCGGAGTTACCCTGTACGATTTTTCGCGCTTCGCCGTTCGAATTAAACTATAGGTCCCCTCGAGTGTTTACAAAAACTCTGAGAGTAGAATTTCACTACTATTGAATCCGAAAACTAAGTGAGTTTCTCTCCCCGAAGAGGCTTAGAAGATTATTGATACGCATAATACTGACTCCTTACATGGGGTCGGAAATCCATATAGGGGATTGAAGGAAAGAAAAAAAAGGTGGATTAATGAAGTAGTAAAGCAACTTTCTAAGGCTACTTTTATAATTAATATTTGCCTGGCTAGCCCCCCCCCTCCCTCCTAAAATGATACGTACGAGTATGTATAGAAAATATCATCATCTACAAATAGTAAAAGCTTCAAACAAATCTTAAGAAAAGTCATTTTGCACCTTAAATCAATATTCTTTGCACTTTTCACAAAATCAAGTGGCATTTTATTTTTACAAAAGATAACAGGTTTTATATATAATAAATAAAACGTTAATCGTTTAGCATTGTATACTAGAAAGTATGTTAACAAAAACTAAATTGGAATTTATATCCATGACGTCATAAATAGCGACGTGAACGAAGAAGGCACGCAAAAGAATGTAAACGAAAAGAATGTTTTGAAGGATAAATACTAGACAGTAAAGTGTCGTGGACGAAGAAATGTATTAGACGGTAAAATGTCTTACGAACAAGTGTCGACGATAAAATGTCGAACGATGAAATGGTAGAAGGTGAAGTGTCTATAAACCATATTTACTTATGACGAATTCGATTGGAAGCATTAGAGAGTGCGCACTGATGCATATTAAATCCATTGTACGCTGATTTAATTTGAATATAAAAATGAAATGCGAATATTTCGAATTACGAAATACATATATTTTATCTAATAGTACAATAAAATGTATTGAGTATTTCATGATTTAATCAATTTCTATGTTTATTTATAAACATATCTTTACGTGATTTTGTGTACGACGGCTTTAACGTGCACTGAATGTGTCCGATAGAATTCGCTATTAAAATTAACTGAACAATTGTTTGACTTTAAAAATCAAAATCCGAGAATTAAGCTTACATAACTTAAAATTATGTAAGGTAAAAAAAGATTTGTTACAAACAATTTGTCACGATGTAGCTGAAGAAAATTTCAGGGTCCACTGAACCTGCGTATGCCGATTAGGGTTAAATCTCAACTTCTCCAAATTCCTTCAAACTTATTATATATTTAAGCATAATAGATTTGGATTAAAAAATGTTACTATTATTATATTAAAAATCAAAAATTGCGAGACTCGAAACGTAAAACGTGAGATTTGCTACGTAAAGATTTGCAAATTATTATTTCGTAGTAGCTTTGGGATTTTAATTCTTAAAAGTAAGAAAATTTCGAAGTTTTCTTTTGACTTTGTAACTTCGAAATCGTAAAACTTTGGGATTTACGGCTTCTCTGCTTTATAACTCTCTTTATAATTGGAGACCCGAAATACGCTTGCGTGTTTCGGTTAAGAGGATCATCATTTCGTATGATTCACAAGGAATGTGGTTTATGTCGCGGAACACTCGAATCATGTGTTGAAACATCGATCGGGAAGCGGCGGAAATGCAGGCCGGATGCTGCAGGCATTCGCAGATTTATACTACTGGCGGACATTCCCCAAGTCAATGGAATCGTCCAAGGCTGGAATTAAATCCTTGCAAAACGGCAGAACACACCGGACCGACGACAGACGCTATGAGTTTGGCAAACACCAGACGCGTAGAGAGAGGTGATTGAACGGCAACCATAAAGACCATACATTTATGAGAGGAAGCGGAGTCACTGGAATTTCACCAAGACAGAGACGCCAGGCGCCACAAGATCTTTATGATGTTAAAATTAATAAAAGCTTTGTCGGAGCTGTCTTATGTATTTTTGTACAGCTATAGATTACATGCGGTGTGTGTGATAAAAAAAATCATTCCAGTATTTATGTGGTAGCTAGTACACACCATACTGTATAAAAAAAGGAAAATTTAAGAATATATTCGCAGAATTATTTAATTTTAAAAATTAATTTATTTTTCTTTAAAGTCATTTTAGAAAAAAAAAAAAGTTAAGCATTTCATATACTCCTATAAATTTATTTTTAAATAAATGAAAAACTTTTGTAACTTAACAACTTTAAACTTTTCACGATTCTCGAAGCTAAAAAATGTTTAAATAATTTTATATATTTTCTATATATATATTATATAAGAACTTGATAAATTTAAAAAGTTTCAAAACATTAGATTAATCTAAGTATTACATTAGTGGCTTACTCAAATCGACTTTCAAATAATTCGACGATCAATGGCCGCAGAAATGCTTTATGCATTTTAATTAACACACAAAAAATGCAGACCAAAAAAATCCAGGTTCTTAAGATGCTTGGAAGGCAGAAGAGCGGAAGAAGGGAGGTATATCCCTATATTTTCAGCACAGAGAGAGAGAGAGAGAGAGAGAGAGAGAGAGAGAGAGCAAAGCTCTGCGTGTGAGGGGGTAGAGGAACTGCGATATTTATGAAGACAATTAAATTCGTAAGAACACATGATCCTCACAGGGCGCGCGTCGAGGAAAGGGCACGTGGGAGGCCGAGCGATTAGAGACGCGATCGTGCACAAGCCGACGTGCCACGCTCGCGGCCGTTAATATCTCCCTGTTCCCTTTTACATTTTATATAAGTACACGAGACGATCCCCCTACACCGTTGTTTACGAGCAACGGGTGTTGCTTGGTTTCTATCGTTTTCCCGCGCTCTTTCTCAATTCGCAGTAAACGGACGAAATATTTACGATGAGTATACTGAGAGGCAAGAAACACGTCAATACGCTTAATCTCGGATAATATACCATAAAAATGACATAAAATATATGTGAAAGGATGGCGATGATCTGTGGAGAAGAGAAGAAGCTGTGTATTTCAAGTGCAGTTTTGCAAATCAAAGAAAAAAGGTTTCGAGAGATTTTTAGTAATAGAAATTCTTCAAGTCAAACTGGAGATTTCTAAAAACGACAAGTTTAGGAAAAGGAAAGTTTAAATGTAAAAAAATACTTGAAAATACGAAAGTATTTTTCGAAGGATTAAAAAATTGAAGTGTTAGAAAGATAGAAAATCAAAGTCTGAGAGAACTTAAACTGGGAGGTTTAATCAAAACGGAAGTGGCACTTCCTGAACCAGTCTGTCGCACCTCGCTGCGGATTGTCGGTCGCGATATTTCGAGATAAGCGTTATCGATGCGTAATATTCGCGACTGAACGACGCGACAGGCTCTCCGGATGCGTCTAAAGCGGCGAAAACTCGTTCTCAGAGTGGAGAGTGGACTCGCCAGCCCTGCAGCAAACTTCACTCTAATCTTTATGAACTCCATTAAGACGACGAACGTAGCTACCGGTTAGAAGCTACGACGCGACGCCTCACGTACGTATCTTCCCCGAGTTCGATTTTCGCGCGCCTTCTCCGTTTGAAAGTTTGGAAATTTAATTCTACAATTATCTAAAATAACACGAGTTCTCTTACAATTGCTTATTCTTCTTCAACAAGTTTTTCATTAAAAAACTAATTAAACATTTTACGCTTCGTAAATTATTGTAATATCAAAACTAAAATTTCGATAAGTTTAAGCCTTTCAAGATTCCGGGAACTCTTCACGATTATGAAATTGTACAATCTCTTATAATAAATTACAATATTTATTCTTCATTAGATTAAATCATTATTATTTTAAATTCTCACAAAAGTTTGTATTTCGAATAACTTAAGATTTTGCAATAAA